TAACAAGAGCGAAACTCCGTCTCAAAAAAAAAAAAAAAAAAAGATTGAAAAGGTTTTAGAAATTTATTTTTGTGGCCGGGCATGGTGGCACATGCCTGAAATCCCAGCACTTTGGGAGGACGAGACAAGTAGATTACTTGAGGCCGTGAGTTCAAGACCAGCCTGGCCAACATGGTGAAACACCATCTCTATTAAAAGTACAAAAATTAGCTGGATGTGGTGGCTCACACTTGTGGTCCCATCTACTTGGGAGAAGCATCTTTTTGTAAAGTCATTCACATTACCAGTGTTTGTTTTTTTTACAGAAAAATTTTGAAAGACTTATCTTCTGAAGATACACGGGGCAGAAAAGGAGACGGAGAAAATCCTGGAGTTTCTGCTGTCACTTCTATGTCTGTTCCAGCTCCCATCTATCAGACTAGCAGCGGACAGTACAGTATGTACAGGAATCAGTTTCCACATTATAAACATACAAAGCCTGACTTTTCTGTAGAAAGAAGTGGTGTTAGAAAAATTGTCATACTTTAATAGTGATGATTATTAAAGGATGTTTTCAGCCAGGAATAATGATAAGTACTTTTTTAGCATTATTTCATTTATTCCTACAACAACTTTGTGACATAGGCAGTTATAAATGTATGAGGGAGCTGAGACCCACAGCATTAGATACTGGATTTGTTTTATTTATTTATTTATTTAATTTATTTATTTTAAGACGAGGTTTCACCATGTTGGTCAGGCTGGTCTTGAACTCCCGACCTCAGGTGATCTGCCCTCAGGTGATCCAAAGTGCTTGGATTACAGTCGTGAGCCACCACGCCTGGCCTTGTTTTTTTTGTTTTTTTTGTTTTTTTTGTTTTTTTTTTATTTTATTTTTTTTTATTTTTTTATTTTTTTATTTTGGAGACAGAGTCTCGCTCTGTCACCCAGGCTGGAGTGCAGTGGCACTGTCGGCTCACTGCAACCTCCGCCTTTCAGAAGTGATTCTCCTGCTTCAGCCTCCTAAGTAGCTGTGATTACAGGTTCCTGCCATTGCACTTGGCTAATTTTTGTATTTTTAATAGAGATGGGGTTTCACCATGTTGGCCAGGCTGGTTTAGAACTTCTGACCTCAGGTAACCCTCCTGCCGCGGCCTCCCAAAGTGCTGGGATTACAGGCGCCACCATGCCCGGCCCAGATACTGTTCTTGAAGTCACATAGCTTGTATATGATGGAGCCTAGGATTCAAAATTAGATTTGTCTGAGTCTACACATATAATTTTACCTCAAACTATACTCCATTTTACAAATTTTTCCTTTGGATGGCAGCCAGTTATGTCTATTACCTTAATTCCAGCAGAAATTACTGTATGAAAGATTAAACATAAATGTTGACTTTTCAGTGTGAGGTTAAGGAAATTTGGATCAGAAAGAGGATAGAGATTGTTTTGCAGTGTGATTTACAGAGTTCCCACCATAAGCAAGAAGGAACTGATCAACTTTAATAGAACACTAAATCCGCATATCTAAAAGTGTTGCTATGAATATTAGTCAGTACACAGAACAAAGTGAGCACCTATTGGTTTACAGCATCCCACCTGGGGGCTAGGTAAAGTTATAAAGGAAGCAAATGTTGTCCTAGCCTTTGAGAGGAAAGCTTAGAGTCAGGAGACAGAGTGATAGAACAGAAATACCTACACAAACAAATGTATATATCCTCACTGATGATCAGCAGCAGTCTATGGATTAGTAACTTGTACTTAGGTTAACACGTAGGTCTTTTCCCCAGTAATTTAGTGAATGAGGTCTGCTGGTTTATTAAAATGACATTTGGCAAAATTAACAAGGTAATAAATTAATCGTCTATTTTTAATTTCTACTCTTGCTTCCAGTATTTTTTTAATGAAAAATTTCAACTACACAACAAAGTTGAACAAATTACACACACATACATATCATTTTTCAAACTTTTTTTTGGCTTTTTTATCTTTAGCTCACTGATACAGAAATAGGATGAAAGTGGTATTTAATATAATATACATTTAGATCTGTTTCGTTCATTCTTTTGTTTTTTTGAGATGGAGTCTCGTCACCCAGGCTGGAGTGCAGTGGCACAATCTGGGCTCACTGCAACCTCCACCTCCCAGGTTTAAGTGATTGTCCTGCCTCAGCCTCCAGAGTAGCTGAGATTATAGATGTGTGCCACAACACCCAGCTAATTTTTGTATTTTTAGTAGAGACAGGGTTTCACCATGTTGGCCAGGCTGGTCTCAAACTCCTGACCTAAAGTGATTTGCCTACCTCTGCCTCCCAAAGTGCTGGGATTACAGGTGTAAGGCACCACACCTGGCCCCTGCCTATTCATTAAAAATATTTTATATACAGTAAAATTCACTCTTTGGGGGAGTTTAAGTCTATGAGTTTTGACAAATGTGTAGAATAGTTTAACACCATTAATCGAGATGTAGTTCTATCACCCTAAGGAATTTACTTGTGCTGCTTATTTGTTATTACCCCCTCCACTCCTAACATTAATCTTTAAGTCTCATTCAGTCTTGCCACAATGTGTATGTCCCATCTGACCACCTCTGGCCATCTCTAACCACCACCACCTTGGCTTAGACTCTGATCTGAATTACTGGAATAGGCATCCAGTTGGTCATCTTGCTTCCATTCTTGCTCCAATCATCAGTTTTCCATACTGTGGCCAAAGTGATTTATTTAAGATGTCAACTAGATCACATCGCTCCTGCTCAGAATCCTCTATTGACATCTTATCATACTTAGAATAAAATGTCAGTCTTACAAGGCATTACATTTAGGATCTGCCTACCACTCTGACCTCATCTCCTGCCACTTGATGGCATTCTGACCACCCAGCTTTCTATACTGTACCTCAGACACACGAAGCTTGTTTCTGCCTCAGAATCTCTGGAGTTGTCCCTGCTCACGCCTGGTATGTTCTCCCAGATCCTTACATGGCTTGCTTCCTATGCCCCTGCTCTGCTTAAGTGTCATCTCCACAAAGAGATCACTCTTTTTCAAACATGTGTCTCCTCCCTTTATTTTTCATTAGCCACCTGTATTTTTCTTTATAAATTTACATATAATTAAAAGACAGTACATATTAGTTTAATTATAGATTGTATGTATGTAATTATAGATTAGCTTACTTATTATCTGTTTTCCCCACTAGAATATAAGGCCCTTAAGGGAAAGAACCTTATTTGTTTCATTCACAACTACATCTTTGACATATAGGACCTGGCAAGTAGTAGGCTTTCAGTTACGTTTGTTATGAATAAATGAATTAAAGAAAAAAAAATATATATATATATAATACCTCTTGAGAAACTTGGAGCCAGGCACGCTGGCTCACGCCTGTAATCTCAGTACGTTGAGAGGCTGAGGCTAGAGGATTGCTTGAAGCCAGGATCAGGACCAGCCTAGGTAACATAGCAAGACTATGTCTCTACAAAACAGTAAATAAATAAATGAAGAATTAGCTGGGCATTGTGGCATGTGACTAATCCCATCTACTCAGGAGGCTGAGGTAGGATCTCTTGAGACCAGGAATTCGAAGTTACTGTGAGCTGTGATTATACCACTGCACTCCAGCCTGGGCAACAGAGCAAGACCAGTCTCAGGAAAAGAAGAAAGAGAGAAAGAGAGAGGAAGGAAGGAGGGAAGGAAGGTGGGGAGGGAAGAAAAGAGTGAGGGAGGGAAGAAAGAGAGAGAAAGGAAAGGAAGGAAGGCAGGAAGGTAAGCACTGGTTGCAAGGAAAGAAACTTGCAAGCAGAGATCGGAGGTACTAGGGACGTTTACATGTTATCATTGAAATAAGTGTAGTACAAATTAGTATTTAGGGCAGCATGGGCCCTTGGTACTTCGTATGATAATGGGAATGTTTCATATCTGCATTCTCCCAGAATAGTAGCCACTAAACCATGTATGACTATTGATTGCTTGAAATGTGGCTGGTGGGACTGAGAAACTGATATTTTAATTTTGTTTGATTTTAGTTAATTTAAATAGCCACATGGGGCTAATGGCTACCCTATCGGACAGCTCAGTTTTAGATTAAATACAACACATTAACAGGTAAATACACATGTTAAGAACAGGAAGTTGCAAAAATGAAAATATGTATAAACATATTTAATATCAAAACATTGGCATCTACAGGTATGCATTTTGATATATTAGGTTGATGTAAAAGTAATTGCGGTTTTTGCCACTCAACCTAATAGCCAAGTATATTCAAGTCTGATACTGATAAAGTCTGTTGTAAGCACAGGAAAATAATGGGAAGGATGTGCACCAAAAATAATTACCTCAGGATGGGGCTAAAGGGGGTCAATGAAATAGAGATAGATAATGGGACCTTTAATTTTATTTACGTTTATACATGTATAAATAAAAGTGCGTGTATATATATATAATCATGTGTTGCAGGGAAGAAGATTGAAACTAATTGCTAATATAATAACTTCAGAGCAAATCTCGGCCCGGTGTGGTGTGTCACGCCTAATCCCTGCACTTTGGGAGGCTAAAGTGGGAGGATCACTTGATTTCAAGACCAGTCTGGGCAATCAATACAGGGAGACCCTATCTCTGTAAAAAATTTAAAAATTAGCTGAGCATGGTTGTGTGCATCTATAGTTCCAGCTACTTGGGAGGCTGAGGTGGGAGGATTGCTTGAGCCCAGGAGGTAGAGTGCAGTGGTGAACCAGGACCACACCACTGCATTCCAGCCTGCCCGGGTGACAAGTGAGACCCTGTCTTAAAAAAAAAAAAAAAAAAAGGCCAACATATCTCTGTATCTAACATTTTTAAATAAATATTTTGAAACTCATAAATTAAATTTGGGGCAATTGGGGAGGGATAATTATGAACTCATGAAAAAAATTATTTTTCCATCAAAATACACACACATGTATTTTGGCTTCCTGGTAGCCAAAGCATAAAAGAAAAAAAAACTTCATCATTTTAATCTGAAAAGAGGGTATAGAGATGAGGCATTAGATTCTGAAGATTAAATGTTTTCTATTTGGTCATACCTTATGAGCATTTCATTTAAGGGCTGAGGGGAAAGCATGAACACAGGTATAATTCAGTGAAAAAAATGTTTGTGGGAGCTAAGTACTGTTTTCTACACAGTGGCTTTCTGTTATCTTTATTAGTGATTTTCACTAGGAAGTGAATGAATAGATTACATTTCTTAACTATAACTTAAATAAATATCTTAATACCATGTAATATATTTAACAGTGGTACCACTAGAAAATGGAGCTAAGAAACAGTATAAAGAAGACTTCTCATTATATAACCTTTTATTGTATTGAATTTTTTTCATAAGCACCTGTTACCTAAGCATGTTATCTATTAAAAAAAATATTTTAAAGTAATAACCTTTTTAATGCTTTTGACTCAAAATTACAAACTATGTTTGTATTTCCTTTTTATTTTTTCTTAAAAATTAGCTACCATGGTGCCAAGTGCTGTGGCATGCCTGTAACCCCAGCACTTTGGGAGGCTGAGGCGGGTGGATCACCTGAGGTCAGGAGTTCGAGACTAGCCTGGCCAACATGGAGAAACCTCATCTCTACTAAAATCAGCCAGGCATGGTGGCACATGCCTGTAATCCCTGCTACTTGGGAGGCTGAGGCCCGAGAATGGCTTGAACCTGGGAGGCAGAGGTTGCAGTGAACTGAGATTGTGCCACTACACTCCAGCCTGGGCAACAGAGTGAGACTCTGTCTAAAAAAAAAAAAAAAAAAAAATTAGCTATCAGTGCCCTCTTCTAATGCCTCAGAATCGCTACGACAACATTAGCAATTAGCATGGAGTGTTCTATGGAGTTCAAATATGTGTGCCGTTTTTAACTACTCAGTTATATAACTTGAGATTAAATTTAAGGTGGTGCATCTGAACTATAAGATTTTTATAAAGAAATGCTGTTTAATTCCTTTTACATGTAGTTCACCTAAAGTAGTTAGCAATTACCAAGCAGAAGTGCATTCATACCTGTTTTAATAAAGTGTTTGTGGGCTTTTTGCCACTCCTTTGAATTAGTGTATTGTATAACCTTACAATGGCTATTTTCTCTTTTTGATTAAAGTTGCCATTGCTCCAAATGGAGCCTTACAGTTGGCGAGTCCAGGCACAGATGGAGTACAGGGACTTCAGACATTAACCATGACAAATTCAGGCAGTACTCAGCAAGGTACAGCTATTCTTCAGTATGCACAGACCTCTGATGGACAGCAGATACTTGTTCCCAGCAATCAGGTTGTTGTACAGAGTAAGTATGCTTAACTGTCTGCAGAAGGTGTCCTAACACTCAGAGACACTTACCAACTAACTCATTCACTTTATTTTACCGTCTAGCTGCATCAGGAGATATGCAGACATACCAGATCCGAACTACACCTTCAGCTACTTCTCTGCCACAAACTGTGGTGATGACATCTCCTGTGTCTCTTACCTCTCAGACAACTAAGACAGATGACCCCCAATTGAAAAGAGAAATAAGGTTAATGAAAAACAGGTAGGTCTTAAAATCATAATGCCAGAGTGGGTAATGTTTTTACAAATCTCAAAACATAACCAGATGTTAACTGGAATTGTATGCAGTCATGAGCTGCATAACAATGTTTAAGTAAATGGGAATGACAGTGATCCCATAAAACTATAATGGAGCTGAAAAAGTCCTGCGGTGGGGCCAGGCGCAGTGGCTCACGCCTGTAATCCCAGCACTTTGGGAGGCTGAGGCGGGTGGATCACGAGGTCAAGAGACCGAGACCATCCTGGTCAACATGGTGAAACCCCGTCTCTACTAAAAATACAAAAAATCAACCGGGCATGGTGGCGCGTGCCTGTAATCCCAGCTACTCAGGAGGCTGAGGCAGAAGAATTGTCTGAACCCAGGAGGCGGAGGCTATGGTGAGCCGAGATCGCACCATTGCACTCCAGCCTGGGTAACAAGAGTGAAACTCCGTCTCAAAAAAAAAGAAAAAAAAAGTCCTGTGATAATGTCATAGATATTTGTGGCTATGCTGTGTAAACAAACCTATTGTGCTGCCAGTCATATAAAAGTGTAACACATGCAGTTATTTGTAGAACATAATACTTGATACTGATAATAAATAACTGTTACTGATTTATGAATTTACTATACTTTTTACCATTATTTTAAAGTGTATGCCTTCTACTTATTTAAAAAAAGTTAACTGCAAAACAGCCTCAAGGCAGCCCCTACAAGGTAAGACCTTGTTATCATTGGGCAACAGAGCAAGACCCTATCTCACGAAGAGAGAATGACACCTCCCTGTGTGTTATAGTCCCTGAAGACCTTCCAGTGGGATAAGGTGTAGAGGTGGACGACAGTGAGATTGATGATCCTGACCCTAGGCTAATTTGCCTAGGTTAATGTGTATGTTGATGTCTTAGTTTTTAACAAAAAAGTTCAAAAAGTAGAAAAGTTAAATTTGGTTTTTGTATGTATTTTTTGACACAAGGCCTCACTCTCACCCCACGCAGGTCTGCAGTGACACAACATTGGCTTACTGCAACCTCTGCCTCCTGGGCTCAAGTGATCCAGCTTAGCCTCCAAAGTAGCTGAGACTACAAGTGCACACCACCACACCTAGCTAATTTTTGTATTTTTTTTTTTTTTTTTTTTTTTGTAGAGATGGGGTTTTGCCATGTTACTTAGGCTGGTCTCAAACCTGGGCTCAAGTGATCCATCCACCTGCCTCAGCCTTCCAAAATGCTGGGATTATAGGTGTGAGCCATGTACCCAGCATAAATAAAAACTTTAAATTAGCTAGTACAACCACTATGAAAACCAGTATAGAGATTTCTCAAAAAACTAAAAAAAAAAATCTACCCAAAGGAAAATAAATCAATATATGAAAGGGATACCTATATTCATAAGTTTATTGCAGCACTATTCACGCACAATAGCTGATAGAATCACCCTATGTGTCCATCAGTGGATAAATGGGTAAGAAAGAATTAAATCATGTTGTTTGTAGCAACATGGTTGGAACTGAGGGTCATTATCTTAAGTGAAATAAGCCAGGCACAAAAAGAAAAATATCACATTCTCACATGTAGGAGCTAAAATATTTGAACACATGGAGATATAGAGTGGAAAAATAGGGCTGGGCACGGTGGCTCATACCTGTAATCACAGCACTTTGGGAGGCCAAGGCAGGAGGATCGCTTGAGCCCAGGAGTTCAACAGCAGCCTGAGCAATGTATCCATTGCTATAAAAAATAAAAAATTAGCCAGATATGGTGGTGCATGCCTGAAATCTCAGCTACTTGGGAGGCTGAGGTGGGAGGATTGCTTGAGCCCAGCGGGTTGAGGTAACATGATCTTTGGCTTGGGCAACAGAGCAAAACCCTATCTCAAGAAAAAAAAGAGAATGGAAAAATAGATAACAGATTGGGAAGGGTGAGGGGCGAGGAGGAAGATGAAAAGGTTAAAGGACGTAAACCTATATACAGTAAGTTAAAAGGAACAAATTCAGTGTTTCATAGCAGAGTAGGATGACCATACTTAACAAAAACCTGTTATGCTCAGGTGATGGATACCCTGAATACCCTGACTTGATCACTACACATTTTTCTCATGTAGTTCATAAATATGCAGAAAAAAATTTTACTAGGAAAAAAAACATACAGGCCTGGTGTGGTGGCTCACACATGTAATCCCAGCATTTTCAGAGGCTAAGGTGGGTGGATCACTTGAGCCCAGGAGTTTGAGACCAGCCTGGGCAACATAGGGAGACCCCATCTTTACAAAAAATAGAAAAAATTGGCCAGATGTGGTAGAGGCAGGAAAATCACTTGAACCCAGGAGTCAGAGGTTGCAGTTAGCCAAGATCATCCCATTGTACTCCAGCCCAGGCAATAGCAAGACTATGTCTCAGAAAAAAAGCTAACTAAAAAAACCCCACAAAACACAAGTAGTTAATGATCATATAAAAGACTACTCAGGGCCGGGCGCGGTGGCTCAAGCCTGTAATCCCAGCACTTTGGGAGGCCGAGGCGGGTGGATCACGAGGTCAAGAGATCGAGACCATCCTGGTCAACATGGTGAAACCCCGTCTCTATTAAAAATACAAAAATTCAGCTGGGCATGGTGGCGCGTGCCTGTAATCCCAGCTACTCAGGAGGCTGAGGCAGGAGAATTGCCTGAACCCAGGAGGCGGAGGTTGCGGTGAGCCGAGATCGTGCCATTGCACTCCAGCCTGGGTAACAAGAGTGAAACTCCGTCTCAAAAAAAAAAGACTACTCAGTCTTATTAGTAATCAAAGAAATGCACATTAATGCTACACACTTACATACCCTTTATACCCACCTGATTGGCAAAAATTTTAAAGTCCAACCAAGAGTTGGCAAGGATTTGGAACAGTGGTCAGGAATTCATAGATACTGCTATAGGAGTGTAAATTGGTGCAGCCACTTTGGAAATTAATTAGGCCTTATCTTGTACAGTAGACATGGATGTACTCTGTGACCCAGCTGTTTTAGTCTGTGTGACTGAGAGAAACTTGCAGGAAGTATGTATAAGAATTTTCATAACAGCAAAAAATCAAGAAACAACCTTAAGATTCATTGATAGCAGAATAGGAACATATTGAGCCTAAATATAAAAATGGGGGAAAAAGAATAGGTACATAAATTATGACCGTTTTTACACAATGGAATGTTTATTTGTAATGATTGAATGAATAATCATTTCAACATGAGTAAATCTTAGAAAAATTAAGTTGAGTGAAAAGCAAGTTGCAACAGAATACACAAAGTATGATATAATTTTAGAAAATAAACTAAATGATATATAGTTTTAGGGTCATATACATATATACTACAACTATAAAAATAAGCAATGAAGGCTAGGCATGGTGGTTCACACTTGTAATCCCAGCCCTTTGGGGAGGCGGAGGTGGGCTGATCACCTGAGGTCAGGAGTTTGAGACCAGCAGCCTGACCAACATGGAGAAACCCCATCTACTAAAAATACAAAATCAGCCAGGTGTTGGTGGTACATGCCTGTGATCCCAGCTACTCGAGAGGCTGAGGCAGAATTGCTTGAACCTGGGAGGTGGAGGTTGTGGTGAGCTGAGATCATGCCATTGCACTCCAGCCTGGGCAACAAGAGCGAAGCTTTGTCTCAAAGAAAAAAAAATTTTAAAAATAAGCAGTGAGATGTCACATGGCAAAAATTACAAAGTGGTAATACTGACTGTCTTTGGGCATATAAGGAAACGAGTACCTCCCATCTATTACTGAGGGAAATACGGAATTTTATGGTATCTACTAGCCCTAACATTT